TTCAAGATGGGGAGGGGGGCCCCCGGGCCCCGGAGGGGGGGGGGGGCTTTGCCACGCCGTGCCCCACAGTGACCCCCCTGTGTCCCCCCAGTTCGGCTCCCGCTTCAAGCCCTACGTGCGATACTGCATGGAGGAGGAGGGCTGCATGGAGTACATGCGGGCACTGCTGCGGGACAGCGAGCTCTTCCGCGCCTACGTGACGGTAACGGGGGGGACGGGACGGGGCTGGGATGGGACCGGGACCGGTGCCGGTTCCAGGGCTGATGCCTTCGTGGTGCAGTGGGCCGAGAAGCACGAGCAGTGCAGCCGCCTGAAGCTGAGCGACATGCTGGTGAAGCCCCACCAGCGCCTCACCAAGTACCCGCTGCTCCTCAAGTCCGTGCTGAAGAAGACGGACGACCCACGTGCCCGTGACGCCATCACAACCATGGTAAAGGGACAGGAGAATAACGGGGGGGACGGGACGGGGCTGGGATGGGACCGGGACCGGTGCCGGTTCCAGGGCTGATGCCTTCGTGGTGCAGTGGGCCGAGAAGCACGAGCAGTGCAGCCGCCTGAAGCTGAGCGACCCCGTGCCACGGCGGGAGGGGGGGGCTGTGCCGTGCCGTGCCGTGCCATGCCCCACGGTGACCCCCCCCTGCTCCCTCCAGTTCGGCTCCCGTTTCAAGCCCTACGTGCGATACTGCATGGAGGAGGAGGGCTGCATGGAGTACATGCGGGCACTGCTGCGGGACAGCGAGCTCTTCCGCGCCTACGTGACGGTAACGGGGGGGACGGGACGGGGCTGGGATGGGGCCGGTACCGGTGCCGGTTCCAGGGCTGATGCTTTCGTGGTGCAGTGGGCCGAGAAACACGAGCAGTGCAGCCGCCTGAAGCTGAGTGACATGCTGGTGAAGCCCCACCAGCGCCTCACCAAGTACCCACTGCTCCTCAAGTCCGTGCTGAAGAAGACGGACGACCCACGTGCCCGCGATGCCATCACGACCATGGTAAAGGGACAGGAGAACGGCACAGAGTGGGGTGAGGTGGGGTGGGGTGAGGTGGTCCATCCCAACCCCTCTCACCCACTGCCTTGGCCACAGATCAGCTCCGTGGAGCACTTCATCAACCATGTCAACTCGCGGATGCGGCAGCGGCAGGAGCGGCAGCGCCTGGCAGCCATCCTCGACCGCATCGACGCCTACGAGGTGGTGGAGGGCAGCACGGACGAGGTGGACAAGGTAGGCTGGGCATGGTGGAGCTGCCATGTCATGCCACCCCATGCCATGTCATCCCACCCCATGCCGTGTCATGCTATTCCATGCCACCCCATGCCATATAGTACCAGCCTATGTTGTACCACATTATGCCACCCTATGTCATTTCATGCCAAGCCAACCCATGACATGTCATGCCACCCAATGCCATGCCAAAACCATCCCATGCCATACCATGCTACCCCATGCCATGCCACCCCATGCCGTGTCATGCTATTCCATGCCATGTCATGCCACCCCAAGCTGTGTCATGCCACCCCATGCCACATCGTACCAGCCCATGTTGTACCATGCTATACCCCCCTACGTCATTTCATGCCAAGCCAACCCATGACATGTCATGCCACCCAATGCCATGTCAAAGCCACCCCATGCCACCCCATGCTGTGTCATGCCACCCCATGCCATATCATGCCAGCCTATGTTGTACCATGCTATACCACCCTACGTCATTTCATGCCAAGCCAACCCATGACATGTCATGCCACCCAATGCCATGTCAAAGCCACCCCATGCCCCCCCATGCTGTGTCATGCCACCCCATGCCATGCCAAAGCCACCCCATGCCCCCCCATGCTGTGTCATGCCACCCCATGCCATGCCAAAGCCACCCCATGCCACCCCACGCTACCCCATGCCATACCATGCCACCCCATGCCATGCCACCCCATCCTGAGCCCGGTGCTGACACCGGGGACTCCCGGCAGCTGCTGAAGGAGTTCCTGCGGCTGGACCTGACGGCCCCCATCCCTGGCACCTCCCCGGAGGACACGAGGCAGCTCCTCCTCGAGGGCAGCCTGCGGATGCGGGAAGGTAAAGACAGCAAGGTGAGGACCGGGGGGGACGGGGAGCCTCTACCCCGGCCCCTGCCCGCCTGCCCCTGCCCACCCTGCCGGCCGGTGCCCACGGCTCCCCTCTCGCCCACAGATGGACGTCTACTGCTTCCTCTTCACCGACCTCTTCCTCATCACCAAGCCCCTCAAGAAGGCTGAGCGCACCAAGGTGATCCGGCAGCCCTTGCTGGTGGACAAGGTCGTCTGCCGGGAGCTCAGGGACGCGGGTGAGTGGCACTGGGGGGGCGATGGGGGCTACAGGGGGGGTGTCCCTGGATGCTGCTGACACCCCCTGCCCGTAGGATCCTTCCTCCTCATCTACCTGAACGAGCTGGGGAGCGCCGTGGCCGCCTACACCTTCCAGGCCAGCGGGCAGTCGCTGTGCCGCAGCTGGGTCGAGGCGGTGCGCAATGCCCAGGTGAGGGGCGTGGGGGGGGGGATTTGGGGGTCCCCGAGGTGCCCCGTGCCTCTCTGAACACCTTCCCCTCCCCAGAACCTGCTGCAGCAGCTGCGGCAGCGCCGGCGCCTGGAGGAGGAGGAGGAGGAGGATGAAGGCGAGAGCGGGACCTCGGCTGCCAGCTCGCCCACCGTCCAGCGCCACGGCAGCGTCAGCCCTGACTCCCAGCGGTGGTACGGAGTGGGGGGAGGAGGAGGGGGGGGGCCTGCACACCCCCCAACCTGGCACAGCCCCCTCCTCCTCACCCTGCTGCCCCCCACAGCCCCTCCGACGGCTCTACCGAGACCCTCGCCGTGGTGGCGGTGGACGGCGGTGACGAGCTCTCCTCCCCGGACTGGGACGCGGGGCCTTTCGGCTCGACCTCGGACGGCTCCTCCGTCGGCACCGGCACCTCCATCAGCACCGGCACCTCCGCCGACACCCCCACCTCCACCGAGACCCCCGCAGGCGCCCTGCCCGTACCCCTGCCCCACACCACGGCCCCCCCGGCCAACGGCTGCCGCTCGGCCTCCATTGACAGCGCCTACGGCACCCTCTCGCCCACCTCCCTGCGGGACTTCGGCCAGCAGCCCGAGGGGGCAGCCGAGGAGGGGAGGGAGCCCCCCATGGCACTCCCGACCCCCCGGCCCACCTCACCCCGGCTGCGCCGCCGGACGCCCGTGCAGCTCCTGCCCTGCCCGGCCAGAGTGCTCAAATCCAAATCGGAGGCCAACCTGCCCCAACTTCTGCCCCCCGGCCCCCCAGCCCCCCTCAGCCAGAGCCGCAGCCTCTCCGACCTCTCCGCTGCCCACCCC